ACACACACACACACACACAGACATGCACCCAGTACATTCACGTTCACAGATACATACATGACTATGTACAACACACACAAACACACACACACACACACACACACACACTTGCCCGCACACGCACACACACACACACACACACACTTGCACGCACACACACACACACACATGCACTCAGTACATTCACGTTCAATGATACACGTGCAGCGACGCACAACCCACTTACACGTGCGACGTGATTGAATGGAAGGCTTCTTCTAAACTCTTTTAAACACAACTTTGATTCACATATCACTTAGAATTTTAAAGAGAACATGACATTCTCAAGTATGTTGACCTGTAAATCAAAAAGTCCTTTTTACCTCTTCTTGCCAGTTTGAAGATCAACATTTTCGGGTGACAACTTATAAAACCTTAAACACCAGACAATAAATTCACTGCGATATAAAAGTAGTATTATTATTACAGGGCTCTTCACAGTAGCGACCAGCACTGGCATGGTTGTGAGATTGTTCTGTATTGGTATTGGGTATATATGTATTATATTTATATACATATGGGTATTTATATACGTATGTATTCATAATTATGAATTTATGTTGTATGTATACGTATGTTTGTTTGCCATTGTTCAAACCAAATTGCCCTGAAACTTCTGGGATCAACAAAATTGTAATATCTATATAGTGCAACAGTTAACATTGCAAGTCTTCATGGTATTCACACCAACAGGCAAAGAGTTCCTGACAGCGATATAACAGAGAGTTACCTTTTCCAGTTCGTCCAGACGTAGATCCAGATTGTTGAGGACGGCGTCGCCGCCCCAGAGGCTGAGCTGGAAGTCTTCCTGTCGCAGCTTGACGTACTTGTCCACGTAGCCCATGATGAGCGGTGTGATGTACGACTCCAGCTTAAACATCTTGGCGCTGGTTCAGTGACCTCTAACCTCTTGACTACCTGAGGGCAGGAAGAGAGCAGCCAGCATCAATCTAGGGAAACTTTTCAGACAGGAAATGGTAAGCTTGATAGCATGTCATATTGTAGGCCATCTGTTCAAATGTTAGTAAGCCCAACTTTTTTTTTTTCTGAATGCAGTTTCTTCATCTGTGAGTCAGTAGCCTGTGCTCAAGGAATATTTTGTTGAAATCTAATTCTAAATTTTGTGTTAAAAAAGCAAGTAAAATACAAGATGTAGATCTAGAAACAATTGTTAAAAGAAAAAAACAGTTCTATAAATCTCTCTCTAGAAAAAAATTTGCTCTGGGCAATTACTTTTACTCTCAGGAAGTCAGGCAGCTACATTCAAAGAAAGTTTTGGATATGAACCCACAGGGTAAGAGATCAAGGGGAAGACCGCGTGGAACCTTGAGAAAAATCACAGAAATCGATGTACAGAAAAGTGGGAAGACATGTAATAACAGCAAGAGACTAGCCAAGGATAGAGAAAGGTCGAAAGTGTTTGTCCATGGCCTATACCCTGGTGCAGGGTGATGATTACTTTTGAAAAACTTGCCGCCGCCGCCGCTATATTTTAGACAAGTCACAGGCAACAATTTCCCTCCCTCCTGGCCATGCAAGGCTAGATCCAGACCGCTTAATTTGAAACCAAACTGATAATAGTAGTAGTAGTAGTAGCGTCATCTCTACATCTTGACCTTCTTTGTATTGTAATTCTCATAGAAAATAGTTTTAAAATCTAGGCCTAATTTTTTACATGGCCAGCTTTTTGGGGTTTTATTTTGGTTTAAATTGCATATATGGGTCATATATGAGCATGCAGGACACATATAAAAGCATAATTTTCAGTTTGGTAGGAATTAATTTAGAATTTTGCCCGGGTGCTGACGAAGCCTTCTCAAGTATCGATTTTCAGGACCACCAAGGGATCTTTAGCCTGAGCAACTTGCACACAGGGCCTCCAAGATTTTTCCCCCCTTATCCAACAAGTCTAGTTCAATATTACCCACCCAAAGATCAGGAGACAGCACATGACATTAGAGAGCAGGGGAAGAGGAGAAAACAGAAATTTTAGAAAATAAATAAAAAATTTCCGTCACTGTCAGATAGTTTAAAAATGAGAGGCAAACACCACGGTACGTAGGCCCTACCTCAAATCTAGACCATGAGCCTAGAGCCCTCATACAGTAGGCTTAGCATTTATAATTAATTATAATTTGCATTTTGCCCAAAAAAGGAAAAAAAATATAATCTATATCAATATTTTAAAAATTATTTTTGCGCATGTGGGCTAGATCTAGATCTAGATCTAGATTCTACATGTAAATTCAGGGTTTGTTTTCATTCACAACTCAGTGACACAATCTCAAAAGTAAAAGAATCTGTTTTTAAATAATGTTCCCACTGTTACTGTGGGAAAGCTTTTTTTGCGTATGAATATCTCGGTAAAAAAAAGTTAGCGTTCATATCTGTACTAAAGTTAACACTAACGGACTTATTAAACCAAGTTGTGTGATGTCCGCAATGATTTTTTTCTCCTTGTCTTCTTCTACTTTTCTAACACAGGACATTATTTTTCTTTACACTGGGCTCATGTTCATCATGAAAACTTTTACATCAAGTTCTATAAATCTTTTCATTTCATTCAGTTTGCACCAGACTCTAGCCTCCCATGACTAGATCTAGATCTAGATTAGATCTAGATCTAGATTTAGATCTAGAAATCTAGATATAGAATCTAGATCTAGATCTAGAAATCTATGTAAAGAGCTGACACAATATTGGGATATGAATCACGAGCTTGTGACGAGTTGGAATTGGGAGACGAGTCGATGATGGAAAAAATCATCAAGATCAAGTCATTATCCTGTATGAGACTGGGAGTCTATCTAGATCTAGATCTAGATCTAGATCTAGAATCTAGATCTAGATCTAGATCTAGATTTCTAGATCTAATATAGATCTAGATCTCATGATGTCATGTTGGCCTCTGGAAGATACGAAGTAAAGTCACAGTCAAGTGGCAACAGATGATCGATCTTGGCACATATCGTCAGCATGCTCTACAGCTACCAACGCAACGGGGTGATATAACAAAAGCATAACCCAATAAATACCTTTAAAAAATGACGTAAATTAGCTTCAGGCTCGTCTCTCGTCAAGAAACGTCTCCCAGTAAGTCCATTGTTTTGGTTTTCGTTTCTCCCTGCCAACTCATATCATTATTGGCGTGGGAGTAAGTTCCCCTGATAGAGAAGGAACCAAACCTCCAGTCTTGGTTTACTTTCGAAGGACAACTTCTTCATTAGAATTAGAATAATAATTATTTTACATGTATCTTAGTCTTATCAGAGAGTTTACAGTAATACTAAACCCTCTCTGGTCTTATAATGAATTATCATTATTCGTGTTAACGTTAAAGTGAATGTAATCTTGTTACAGGTTGGCTATCTGTGTAACCTTCTATTCTCTTTCTTTATATCTATATATAGCACACTTCTGTCTGTGTTTGTGGGTATCTATAATAATAATAGTATATTATTAGGAGTGTGAGTTAGAGAGAGAGAGAAGGGGGGAGGGAGAGAAAGAGACAGACAGACAGACAGACAGACAGACAGACAGACAGACAGACAGACAGACAGA